TGGGGACACTGCAACTGTCACAAATACATGCCTGTTGCCAAGCATCTGAATTTTGATCATGTGACCCCGAGGTCATAACTGAAACACGGCCATATATCACATTTTTCAGTGTCGTCGTAACTTTGAACGATGTTGTAAGTTAAGGACTACCTGTATTCTTGTCCCTCGGCTTCGATGTAATGAATATAGATGTATTTTTATGAGGTTCAAATTACTGGAACGACGTACTATTAATATAGTTCTGACCAATAAGATGGTGGTGTTCCTGGCATTATAAACACTTTCCTAGCTCTAATTGTGGTTACATTGCGGTAATCACTTTTACTGCTGCTGTTAAAAAAAAAAAAAAAATCATCTGAGGGGCACTTTGTTTTTTTTTTTAAAAAAAAAAGAACAACTGCAATTAACTTTTTATGAAAGCCAGCGATTCTCAAGTGCACAAAAATTCTTTCTTTTCTTAAAAAAGAAAGCCAAAATGACCTCGGATACGCAGCCAAGAATGCTTTTATCTGACTTCCCTGTTTCTTTTGGATGGTGTTATTGACCACCGACAACAGCTCTGCGGTTCAACCGTTTAAATGAAAATAGCGTCAAATTGTAGAGAAGAATCTCTTTTGTAAGTAGGTAGACCTCAACGTACGATCCCAGTTGATCCCAAGATTTCCGTGTCTAAGCGAGACAGTTGTTAATTGAGTTTTGCCCCATTTTGCGACCTTTCTTGCTGCAGTGGTTAAGTAAAGTCGGGTAGGCAACTTTGGGTCTTTTATGACTCGTGGACTTCAACTCCCAGAATTCCTGAGCCAGCATGGGGGAACTATGGCCCCTTCATGACTCACGGACTTCAATTCCCAGAATTCCTCAGCCAGCATGAGGGAAACTTTGGCCCCTTCATGACTCGCAGACTTCAACTCCCAGAATTCCTGAGCCAGCACGGGGGAAACTTTGGCCCCTTCATGACTCGTGGACTTCAACTCCCAGAATTCCTGAGCCAGCATGGGGAAAACTTTGACCCCTTCATGACATGGAGACTTGAACTCCCAGAATTCCTGAGTCAGCATGAGGGAACTATGGCCCCTTCATGACTTGGGGACTTCAACTCCCAGAATTCCTCAGCCAGCATGTGGGAACTATGGCCCCTTCATGACTTGTGGACTTCAATTCCCAGAATTCCTGAGCCAGCACGGGGAAACTTTGGCCCCTTCATGATGGCGGAGTTCAACTCCCAGAATTCCTGAGCCAGCATGGGGGAATTATGGCCCCTTCATGACTTGCAGACTTCAACTCCCAGAATTCCTCAGCCAGCATGGGGGAACCATGGCCCCTTCATGACTCGTGGGACTTCAACTCCCAGAATTCCTGAGCCAGCATGGCTCAGCTTGGAAACCTCTCCCTTTCCCCTCAGCATGGCTGGCTCAGGAATTCTGGGAGTTGAAGTCCACGAGTCATAAAAGAGCCGAGGTTGCCTACCCCTGAGTTAAGTGAATCACTGCAGTTGTTAAATTAGTCACACGTTGTTAAATGAATCTGGCTCCCCCCCCCCCGTTTACTTTGCTTGTCAGAAAGTCGCAAAAGGGGATCACATGACCCTGGGACACTTCAACCCTCGTAAATACGTGCCAGTTGCCGAATTTTGATCACATGATCATGGGGATGTTGGGATGGTTATAAGTTTAAAAACCACTCATGTCATTTTTTTCAGTACTGTTGTAGCTTCAAGTGGTCACTAAACAAACTGTTGTAAGTGAAGAACTATCTACTTTTGAATTGATGTTTGCCTTCCTTTAACTTTCTTAATTTTTTTTTTTTTTTTTACTGAATTAAAATCTGAAAAATTGGGCTTTCAAGAAGAGATGTATTGCTTGGGTATTGACTACACGTGATGGGTGGTTTTTTTTAAAAGTAAAATTTGAAAAGGCATAAAGGTATGATGCAAATTGTGTTTTGTCTGGAGATTTCTTAGCTTGCTCAATAGACTCTTTCCCAGAAATAGTTTATTTTGCCTTTTTCTGGGTCTGTTTTTGTTTTTGTTTTATTTCCCATTCTAGTCTGCAGCTGAAAATCTACTCACCAGGCCTGATCCTGCTTGGCTGTTTTGAGATCAGCCAAGCTTGAAGGGACTTTATTACTTGATTTTCACTAAATGGGTTCTTGAAATAGACTTTCCTTTAGCTGCTTGCATGACCGACGGCTAAGAAATTCAAGAGAATTCTCCCAGCTGAATACAAATTTAGCTTTTTTTTTTTTGGTGGTCTACCTTGCAAAAAGTGTTCTGCAGCCTGTGATTGATTATGCTGTTGGATTCTTATGCCTTGCTCTCTGTCTAATTTTGCCTGGGTCCTCGACTTACAGCCACTAATTTAGTGACCATTCAAAGTTAGAGCAGCACTGAAAAAAGGGACTTAACGGCCATTTTTCACACTTCTGACTTTTGCAGCATCCCCATGGGTCACTGATCAAAATTCAGCCACTTGGCAATGGGTTCATATTTATGACGGTTGCAGTGTGTCCCAGGAGTCATGTGATACCTTTTTGCGACCTTCTGACCAGCAATGTCAATGGGGAAGCCAGATTCACTTAACAACTGTGTTGCTAACTTTTAACAACTGAACCAATGTGGCAAGAAAGGTCAGGCAACGGAGCAAAACTCATTTAAGAACTGTCTTGCTTAGCAATAGAAGTTGTGGCCTCCATTGTGGTTGTAAGTTGAGGACTACAAATACAGCAGGGGTGGGGTACTAGGGCAACTTCATGACTCGTGGACTTCAACTCCCAGAATTCCTGAGCCAGCATGAGGAAACTATGGCCCCTTCATGACTTGCGGACTTCAACTCCCAGAATTCCTCAGCCAGCATGGGGGAAAATATGGCCCTTTTATGACTTGAGGACTTCAACTCCCAGAATTCCTCAGCCAGCATGAGGGAACTATGGCCCCTTCATGACTCATGGACTTCAACTCCCAGAATTCCTCAGCCAGCATGGGGAAAAATATGGCCCTTTTATGACTTGTGGACTTCAACTCCCAGAATTCCTGAGCCAGCATGGGGGAAAATATGGCCTTTTTATGACTTGTGGACTTCAACTCCCAGAATTCCTGAGCCAGCATGGAGTTGAAGTCCACAGGTCATAGAACTGCCTTAGTTGCCTACCATGAGAGTATAGCATGAGTTATGTATGAATATATTGCTTGCTGCTTGTGGAGGTGGGTGATCCTTTTTGGATCAGTGTGCCATCGATATACAATGTACTACAGGATTCTAGACCAGAGGTCCCCAACCTGTGGGCCATAGCCCACAACCGGGCCGCGGCCTATTTGCATCTGGTCCGCGTGAGTGGCAGGCTGGCGTGCATGCATCCCCACTTTTGTGTGTGGTGCCTCAAAGCTTCTCTCTTGTGTGAGCGGAGATGTGCATGCATGCGCTCTGGCCCGCCACCCACGGGGCCCAGTTCCCCTCTTCCCCCCTCCAGCCGGGCAGCCCAAGCTGCAAAAGTTGGGGAACCCACTGTTCTAGACAATCCAGTGTGACTCTTCCTTTAGTCTGGATCTGAGGGGTGAAGTTCATGGGGAAGAAAAGTTGAACACGAATTCAGCTCTGAATCCAAACACTTATTTTCCTGGATATTCGAATACACTTGAATGCTTGCTAATTTACCTGCAGGTAATTTACCTCCAGATTCAGTCATAGTTTCATTCCATACAGCATTAACCTTGCGAACTCTCAAGCTTCCTCCTTCCGTTATATATTCAAGATGGGCAGTGTTTAATATTTATTTGTTATGTATATGTAGGGGTGTGAGTCTATACCAGTGATGGCGAACCTTTTAGAGACCGAGTGCCCAAACTGCAACCCAAAACCCACTTATGCATCGTCGGGTGCCGGGTGGGTGTGGCCCATTTGCTGGGTGTGGCCAATTGGGTGTGGCTCATTGGGTGGGCGTGGCTGCGGTGGTAACGGCAGACTGGGTGGGACTAAAAAGTTCAATCAAACAATTCCAACTTTGTAAGATCTTTTTTTTCCCCGCTGAAATTGACTGATTGATTGAACCTTTTTTTTTTTTTTGCACACGGCAGCAGAGGCTTAAAGTGAAAAGGTTTTATAAAACCCAGCTGAAGGCCTAGGACTGGGGCGACGGTGCGCACTCAATCCCAATCTGAGTGCCGCCTCTGGCACCCGTGCCATAGGTTTGCCACCACTGGTCTATACATATTTGTTGTATATAGTATGTTTAGGTGTATGTCATGTTTGTGTTTCACTTTGAGAGCGGGCAACTAAATTTCATTTTTGATGTTGCCATTGTGCCCACAGTAAAAAAAATAACAATAAAGGTTATCTTACCTATAGGAGTCAAACTTAGGAATTCCTATAATTTTATTGAACCTATTGGAGCACCAAATCCAATTAACACTGAAAATAGTAAGAAAAGAGGAACAGAGTGAATTGCAGGACAAAGGGGAGAAAAATAGCAGTGCAGTAGAACGAACATAATGAATTTACAGCCTCCACTTTTTACTCTTCATAATGTATACTTGTCATTTCTTAAAAAAAAAAAAAAACCATTGTCTGATCAGTCCATCCCAAAATCAGAATTTTATTTTTTTTTTCTACCTCAAGCACAACATTTAGAAGCAGTTTCCAGACAGCAATAAAAGATGTATTCTTCTCTTTGATTAAAACAGTTAATTTGGCCATCTCTGCTACTTCCACCAATTTCTCAGGAGTCAAATTTTGAATGTCTTTCTGGATTAAGAATTTTCAGAGTTACTCTCTGGGATATTACATGGATATTACAGAGTCTCCAAGAAATCGCACGTTCTCCTAGGTGTGCTCACATATGAAAGTCAGTGGGGTTTCCTTCCTTCTAAATGTCCATAAAAATTCTTTCCTGGACTCCGAGGTTCTTAATCCTCCAGCTCGCAGCGCCACTGACCTCCCTGAGGTCCACTTGAAGCATCTCTAGTTGCTTGGAGTTACCTTCTAAATGTCTCTGTTCTCTCTCCGTAGCTTAGATACCAGCATGGCCTGGGGACTCCAGATTTAAGGCAGACACTTCCCAACCTGAAAAACTTCCTGGAGCACGGTCTCATGGTTAGATGGTGAGTAAGTTCTGTTTTGCTTTGCGTCACAGTGCAGGTCATCTTCGACTTAACAGCCATCCATTTAGCGACCGTTTGGCCCTGGGAAAAAGGAAGGTACAGCTGGTCCTTGCATTTAACCAGCCCTGGTGGCGCAGCGGTTAGAATGCAGGCCTGCAGGCTACTTCTGCTACCTGTCAGCTGCCCGCAGTTCAGCAGTTCGATTCTCACCGGCTCAAGGTTGACTCGGCCTTCTGTCCTTCTGAGGTCAGTAAAATGTGGACCCAGATTGTTGATGGGGCAAGATGCTGACTGTAAACCGCTTAGAGAGGGCTGTGAAGCACTGTGAAGCGGTATATAAGGCTAAGTGCTATTGCTAAGTGGGAAGGAAAGGAAGGAAGGAAGGAAGGAAGGAAGGAAGGAAGGAAGGAAGGAAGGAAGGAAGGAAGGAAGGAAGGAAGGAGCAGCGAGCCATGGTGGTTCAGTGGTTAGAATGCAGCATTGCAGACTAATTCTGCCCATCGCCAGGAGTTCGATACTCGCCAGATCAAGGTGGACTCAGCCTTCCATCCTTCCAAGGTCAGTAAAATGAGGACCCAGATTGTTGGGGGCAAATAGGCTGACTCTGAAAACTGCTTAGGGAGGGCTGTAAAAGCCCTGTGAAGCGGTATGTAAGTCCAAGTGCTGTTGGTATTGCTAGGGAGATTCTCTTCTGTAGTAGCTCCAACTTGCAAGTCTGGACTGCAGCAAAAACACCAACCATCCCTGGAGCTGAAAGCGTTTAAATCCACATGCAATTCCTGAGAGGTAGCTCCACCCAACAACACATAACGCACGAGGTTTCTTCGACTTGAGGGACCGATCCTAATCACCGTCTACCCCTGCAGCTTAATAGAAAAGAAGGGCCAGGGGTGACAGGATAGCTGCCTTCCGACATTTGAGGGGCTGCCCCAAAGAAGAAGAGGGATGTCAGCCTCTTCTCCAAAGCGCCAGAAGGCAGGAGAAGAAGCAACGGATGGAAACTCATCAAGGAGAGAAGCAACCGAGAACTAAGGAGAAACTTCCTGACTGTGAAGCGGTATATAAGTCTAAGTGCTGTTGCTATTGCTATTAACAACCGTTCACACAATCAAAATTTGGGCATTTGATAACCAGCATGTATTTAGGACAGCTGCAGAACTCTGGAGTCACAGGATCCCCATTTGTGAGCTTCCCAGCCAGCTTCCGACAAGCAAATTCAGCGAGAGAAGCCGGTTTCTTTAATGACGATATGATTCGCTGAACAGCTGCCGTGATTTGCTTAACTTTTGAGTTGTAAAATCAAGCACAACTTAACAACTGCCTTGCTTAGCCGTGGAAATTCTGGTCCCGCTTGCGGTCGTACGTTGAGGACTACTTGCAACAGAAAAGTAGCTAAAGATCAAACGTTTTCAGAAAACACAGAATATGGAGAATTATAATAATAATAGTAGTAGTAGTAAAGTTGGAAGGGACCTTGGAGGTCATCTAGTCCAACCCTGCTCAGGCAGGAAACTCTACACCATTTCGGACAAATGGCTGTCCAGTCTCTTCTTAAAAACTTCCAGTGTTGGAGCATTTACCGCTTCTGGAAGCAGGCTGTTCCACCGATTAACTGTTCTGTCAGGAAGTTTCTCCTTAGTTCTAGGTTGCTTCTCTCCTTGATTAGTTTCCACCCGTTGCTTCTTCTCCTGCCTTCAGGCGCTTTGGAGAACGGCTTGACTCCCTCTTCTTTGGGGCAGCCCCTGAGATATTGGAACACTGCTATCCTGTCCCCCCTTGTCCTTCTCTTCGTTAAACTAGACATACCCAGTTCTAGCAACCGTTCCTTATATGTTTTAGCCTCCAGTCCCCTAATCATCTTTGTTGCTCTTCTCTGCAGTCTTTTGTGCCGTTCTGTGTGCTGTCTTTATTACCGAAGATGCTCCAATCTGCCCAGCTCACTAGGATTACTAACCCTGATTTTGCTGTCGTCCAGGAATGGCTTTCGTCGAAATAATTTTTTTTTAACCAAACAACCAAAACAATAATAATAATAAAGTTGGGAAGGATTCCCTCTGTGAGTTCTTAAATACGATAAATAAATTAAAACATAAACAAGAAAACCAAAGAGTCCGTCGGTGCTCGTCATGACCCCAGAGCAGTGGGCTCCGTGGCCTTCTGCTGCTGTCCCAGAGAGAAGCTTCAGGATTCAGCAGAATCATCAGGCAGGTGTCAGGGTTCCGACTAATGAAGCACTTCAAAGAACTTTCAGGCATGTTTCCCAAAGCCTTTATTACAGAGCCGGTCACCATCATGGACGTTTTGATGCCAGAATCTGACCTTCTTGCTGGCATCAAACTTTTCTTGCTAAACCCCTCCCTTATTTTGCAGTCACAAGTCACATTATCCAATTAGTGTGAAGGTCAAAAGTTTACTTCCTCTTTCTTTCCCGGGCTTTTTACCCCCCCCCCACTCTAAGCTATGTATTAACCCAGTAAATACCAGACAGTTTTGCATATTGTCAAAGCAAGAATATACAGTATTTGCAGCATTGACAGCAGGTTGTCCAAATCAGGGATCCCCAACCCCCAGGCTGTGGACCAGTACCGGTCTGTGGCATGCCAGCAACCGTTCCGCACAAAAAGCAAAGCCCCATCTGCGGGATGCAGGCAGCACACAAAACCACGCATTGTCCGGTCCGCGGAAAAAACCTCTCTTCATAGAACCGGTCCCTAGTGCCCAAAAGGTTGGGGACCTCTGGTCTAAATCCCTCATCTTCAAAGGCAGACCATGTCCACCTCTGGCCAACTGAAGTCTCAGCCTGTGCAGATGTGAGATCATAAACTCCGCCGATCACCAGATCACTTGCAACGAAGGGAAGGTGGATCAGGTTTTGGTCAGGAGACTGAGCGGAACATAATTTTACGGCCAGAAACGGTGCAGAACGAGCCATTCCTTGATTTCTTATGACTAATTATGTGTAGAGCAGTGGTTCTCAACCTTTTTAATGCCGCGACCCCCAACCGGTTGTAAGTCGAGGACTACTCAACCGGTCGTAAGTCGAAGACTACTCAACTGGTGCAGCACCATTTGCAGAATGGGACTTTTGGCGGGCTCAGCAGGGCAGAGACAGCCTGGACAATTCCTATTGGCTTTTGAAAGCCAATAGTATTAGACTCTATTCAAGAGAGTCTATTCTATTGGCTTTCAAAAGCCAATAGAGTAAAAGGGAGCAGCACAGCTAAGGAAAAGGGGGAAAAAAATGGCGGACTGCGTTGTTTGGCGACCCCCGTGAAATGGTCGTTCGACCCCAAATGGGGTCCCGACCCACAGGCTGAGAACCACTGGTGTAGAGTCTTAAAAGACGAGCTATGCTTCCGTGGCGTTTTAGCTTCAAACCTCAATCAAGTTTCTGTCCCGCTGCCAAGAATCTTTTTTTTACAATTGCGGCGAGATATCAATGTGAGCGATAGATTAAAGTCCACAGGTAACAGATACCTTTTCAAGGTGGGTGTTCCAATTAGCAGTTTAATCCTTATTAGGATTAAGAGTCCTTATGCAAACTCAGCGGCTCCTGTATTCCTAGGTAGTCTACTTAAAGCTTTTGCAATCCCGGGAGTCTCAGAGCTGTCGCCCTGAAGACGTGGAGCCTGGGAGAAGGAGCGGGAAAATATCCAGCTTTTATTGGACTGTGAAATCCTCCCTTCAAGAGGATTTCATTTTATGGGGTTAGAAAAGAGCCAAGCGTTGAGAGCTTTGGGATTGAAGTCCAAACTAATCAAGACACCTGCTTCGTGACCGTTTGTGATGGGAGAGGATAAATTATATCTAAACAAGAATTGGAGTTGTGTTGTCCTCGGTGCTCTCTTGAGCTTGGCGGTTTACTTGCAGACATTTTATTACCCAGCTAGGCAACACCCTCAGTGTTAGAAGGGAGCCTAACAACAACCCGATCAAGGAACCACCAAAAACATTCCCACCAACACTGATAGTGCAGTGATAGCGAACCTTTTAGAGACCGAGTGCCCAAACTGCAACCCAAAACCCACTTATGCATTGTCGGGTGCCGGGTGGGCATGGCTGCAGTGGTAATGGCAGACTGGGTGGGACTAAAAAGTTCAATTAATCAGTTCCAACTTTGCAAGGTCTTTTTTCTTCCCACGAGAAGTTGAAATTGACTGATTGATTGAACCCTTTTTTTTTTTTTTTTTTTTTTTGCACATGGCAGCGGAGGCCTAAAGCAAAAAGATTTTATAAAACCCAGCTGAAGCCCTAGGACTTGGGTGACGGTGCGCGTGCCCACAGAGAGGGCTCTGATTGCCGCCTCTGGCACCCGTGCCATAGGTTCGCCACCACTGCCCTATAGCATTTCAGACAAATGGCTGTCCAGTCTCTTCTTAAAAACTTCCAGTGTTGGAGCACCCACAAGGTCTGGATGCAGGTTGTTCCACTGGTTAGCTGTCCTCACAGTCAGGAAGTTTCTCCTTAGTTCCAGGTTGCTTCTCTCCGTGATTAGCTTCCATCCATCGCTTCTTGTCCTGCCTTCAGGTGCTTTGGAGAATTTCTGAGTTTCAGTTCTGCCTCAGATCAGCTCTCTCCATCCTGTGCAAATGGTCCTCAGCCGTGGGATTACCTGCAAACCTCTCAAACTATTTACACCAGTGGTTCTCAACCTGTGGGTCGGGACCCCATTTGGGGTCGAACGACCATTTCACAGGGGTCACCAAACAACGCAATCCGCCATTTTTTGCCTCCTTTTCCTTAGCTGTGCTGCTCCCTTTTATTCTATTGGCTTTTGAAAGCCAATAGAATAGACTCTCTTGAATAGAGTCTAATTCTATTGGCTTTCAAAAGCCAATAGGAATTGTCCAGGCTGTCTCTGCCCTGCTGAGCCCGCCCAAAGTCCCATTCTGCAAACGGTGCTGCACCAGTTGAGTAGTCCTCGATTTACGACCGGTTGAGTAGTCCTCGACTTACGACCGGTTGGGGGTCGCAGCATTAAAAAGGTTGAGAACCACTGATTTACACGAATAGCAGATTTGGCTCTGTGTGTGTGTGTGTGTGTGTGTCTTGTGTTTATTTGGGGTCCTGGGTTGCCCTCTTTTAAGGTGGCAGAGCGCTTCAAACTCCCACTGACTTTAATCCTCCTCCTCCTCTTCCTCGCAGCGATCGTCACCACGTTTCCAGCGCCATCCCCGTTCCAAAGAGACAAGCTTCTGCGTTTGGCGGTTTGGATGTCGCCTTTTCCGGCAACCACCCGTCTCCGGACAAGGGGCTTCGCAAACGGGCTAACTCGGAGAACGAGAGACTGGCGCACAAGAGCCCTGTCCCGAGTCACAACTCGGCTTCAAGCCCACCCTTCGCCATCGCCGGAGAGACGGAGAAAAAGGCCGCCTCCTTATCCTCCTCCTTAGATACCTCCCTCGACTTCTCGAAAGGAAGCAAAACGGGCGAGGATTTGCGGCTCGGTGTCAACGGCGAGAACAGGAGCTTGAGCGGCTCCCGGAATCCACCGCCGCCGGAAGCTTTCCGGGAACCTTCTCAGGCCGTCAACGGCAGCCCGTTCTCCGGCGAGCACCCCGGTGCCGCCGCCCGCGAGCGGCCGAGCATCTTCTGCGGCGCGCTCAGCACTGACCTCCTGTGTACCGTGGAGCAGGCGGAGGAGATCATGGGTCTGGAGGCCATGGGGTTCGGCTCGGGAGACCAACTCGGGGCCTTTAACTATATCCCGGTGGATCACGCGGTGGCAGTGGAATGCGACGATCAAGTCCTGGGGGAATTTGAGGAGTTTTCCCGGAGGATCTACGCGCTGAACAAGGACACCCCCACGTTCCGCCGGCCGCGGAAAGGGTCCGACAAGTAGCTCCCGGGCGTCGCGAGGAGGCTGCGCGGGTCACCAAGAGGAAGCGGTGTTTCTGGAGATAAACCTTGCACTCGTCGTCCTGACCGGTTGCGGTAGGGGGGTCTCCAAACGTGGCAACGTGGAAGACTGGCGGACTACAACTCTCGAGAATTCCCCAGGCCCGGGAATTCTGGGAGTTGAAGTCCGCAAGTCGCGGCAGGCTAGGGAATTCTGGGAGTTGAAGCCCGCCAGGCTTCAAGTTGTCGAGTTTGGAGAGCTTCCCCCCCCCCCAAGTTATGGGGTAGGAGGGCGGTAGGGAAGACAATTGTTCTTGCTGCCGTTTTGGGAAGGAAGCGTGTGGGTCAGAATCTGCTCTCTCCCCCCCCCAAAAAAAATCATCACCCCTTTCCTTTCCCCCGAATTTTTAATCCTCACAAATTGCTTTGGCAATTCAGTCAGGTCTTTTGCGTTACTTTTTTCCCCTCAGAAGTTTTATTATTTCCATCCTTTCAGGAGAAATTAGGTCAAGCTTTTGCCAGTTTACCAGCAAGGCTCTGCGTGTCTCTCCTTCTTCCCAGCAGCTTTTTGCTTTCAGCCCGGCTTTTCCGCTTTCTGGTTGACAGGCACACACAATGTTTTGGTTGTTGCTTTTCTTGGGAAGCAGATGATTCAACAGTAGGAAAGTCTATCACTCAAGAAGCCTGGGTAAAATTCCCAGTCTCGGGTGTCTCTTTCTTTCTTTCTTTCTTTCTTTCTTTCTTTCTTTCTTTCTTTCTTTCTTTCTTTCTTTCTTTCTTTCTTCCCTTCCTTCCTTCCTTCCTCCTCCCCTCCCTCCCTTCCCCTTCTTTCCTTCTTCCCTTCCTTCTTTTTCCTCCTTCCCTTCTTTTTCCCTCCCTCCCTCCCTCCTTCCTTCTTCCCCTTCTCCTTCCTTCCTTCCTCATTGCCTCCTCCCCTCCCTTCCTTCCCCTTCTCCTTTCCTTCTTCCCTTCCTTCTTTCTCTCTTTTTTCCTCCTTCCCTTCTTCTTCCCCCCTCTCTCCCTCCTCCTTTTCTTCTTTCCCTTCTCCTTCCTTCCTTCCTTCCTTTCTTCCTTCCTGTCCTTCCTCATTTCCTCCTCCCATCCCTTCCTTCTTTTCCTCTTCCTTCCTCCCTTCTTCCTTCTTTCTCTCCTTTTTTCTTTCCCTTCCTCCCTCCCTCTCTCCCTTCTTCCTTCCTTCTTTCCTTCTCCTTCCTCTCCTTCCTCATTGCCTCCTCCCGTCCCTTCCTTCTCCTCCTTTCCTCCCTTCTTTTTCTCTCCTTTTTCCTTCCCTTCTTCTTCCCTTCCTCTCTCCCTCCTTCCTTCCTTCCTTCCTTATTCCCTTCTCCTTCCTTCCTTCCTTCCTTCCTTCCTTCCTTCCTTCCTTCCTTCCCTCCCTCCCTCCCACACCTGTCCCGGAATAAAGAACGGGACTTGCCAAAAGAACCCCATGGAAATCTCTGCTGCTTCAGTGGGTCAGATGCCAGAGAGATGGTCAAGGAATCGTTCCTTTTGCTTCCGAGAATAAAATTAATATGCTTTAAAAGCCACCCCAGCCTAACTCCCATGCAATTAAGGCGCCGCCTCTGTTTCAAGAATAAAATCATGTCTTGCTTTGGATAAGTAGGCGACTATGCACACCAACACCCGCTTGTCCACCGAAGATGCTGCTTCTAAGGCACGCCGGCTTCCGTGGCCTTCGTGGAAGGCGGTCTGTCTCTGCTGCCGGAGTGCCTCACGGGACCATCAACTGTTAACAATATAGCCTGTGGGCGCATTATTATTATTATTATGGTTATTATTATTATTATCATCATTACTGTTATTACCGTTAAGACTATTATCCATGATTTCAACCTCAGTCCAGCAGTGAAGCAGTTTACACAAAGACACAGGTCAGGCTTTGCACACCTACAATCCCCCTCCCATGTGTGCATGTAGACAACAACCCCCCCCCCCCCAGTGCAATAGATATTTGGAGTTACCTGAATTGAACGGAATTGTGCTTTCGGAAGACTATTTCGAACCATTTCAATCCTTTTTTTAAAAAAAAAAACAAAAATACAGGCAACCAACCCATATTTTTAAATTGGAATTGTTTTCAAACAGTTGACGCAACAGGGCAGATTTAACTTTCAAGTGAGGTAGTTCCCGACTGCACACGAGTGGATTTCCCGGTCTGCTTCAGACTCCTGAAGATCTGCCTTTTTAGGGGTCAAATAAGCCTAGCTTTTTGCTTTCTACCTTGTATATCAAAGTCTGGGCTCGACTGAGAGCCCGATAAATATAAATATGTATGGCAGAATAAAAATTGAATTTGCTTCCTGGCTGTCGGGCGCTTCTTTCCCCCTGTTTGACTCCGGTCTACAACATCAAGCAGGGAAATTGTAAAAGGGGGGGGGGAGGAATCGGACATTGGGTGTGTTCCCCCTTGACTTTATCATAAGGTGACCAACTTTATTACAATGAAAAGGAGGACACAAATAAATTGAAGAAAAAAAAATTCTAAATAAAAAAAACATTCATTGCAACAATAATACAGACAACTTGCATGTGCGAAGTTTGCCAGCCGGGTGTTTTGGCGCGCTCACCAGCAATTCCTATTGCAGTGTTTCTCAACCTTGACAATTTTAAGGCATGTGGACTTCAACTCCCAGAATTCCACAGCCAGCATTGCTGGCTGTGGAATTCTGGGAGTTGAAGTCCACATGCCTTAAAATTGTCAAGGTTGAGAAACACTGTCCTATTGGCTTTCGAAAGCCAATAGTGGGAGTAGCACAGCTCATGCAAAAGTTGAAAAAAAAAAACCATCAAAAAAAAGTGCCGGATCCTCGTTCTGAGCGTTCTATGAGGAAAAAAAAAAGCCCTGCAGATTAGTCTTCAAATATCGAAAAGGAGGACATGAAGGAGGACACTTTTTGAGGGAGGACAGAACTCACAAAATGAGGACTGTCCTCCCTAAAGGAGGACGGTTGGTCACCTTATTTATCAGAAGTTCGCAAAAGAAGATCGCACAACCCCAGGACACTGCAACCGTCATAAATACTGGCATATATACATGCCAGTTGCCAAGTATTTTTGATCATGTTACAATGGTCATTAAGTGTGTAAAACGGTCCTGAGTCACTTTTTTCAGTAACTTTGAACGGTCACTAAACGAACTGTTATAAAGTCAAGGACTACTTCTATATACATACCCGTGTTTCCCCCAAAATAAGACCGGGTCTTCTTATTATTATTATTATTTTCCTCTAAAAGAAGCATCAGGTCTTATTTTCAGAGTAGGCCTTATCTCACTTCCGGCACCAATAGCCCCACCTTAGCTGGTCCACTTCTTCTGGGGCTGAAGTTCAGCAGCTGCATTCGGTTCTGCATTTTGCAGTCAGGCCTCTCCTGAAGGCCTAAGTAGCCGAGTACCGAGCTATGGATCCAATCCATAGCTTGGGGCTCGGCTGCTGAGGTCTTGCAGAACTGAGCTACGGATTGAACCCATAGCTTGGTTCTCAGCTGCAGAGGCCTTCCGGAAAGGCCCGTGACTGAGATATGCAGACCTGGGTGCAGAAGAGGCCTCAGGAGAAGAAGTGGGCCGGCAAGGAGAGGCCTGGCTGCAAAGTAAGTGGGTGCAGGGTGGATGGGGCGGGTCCACTCTCCCCACCCCCGCCCTAGCTTGATTTTTAGGTGTGCGCTTCACCCCAAAACTAGGGCTTATTTTAGGGGTAGGGTTTATATTAGGCCCACTCCCAAAAATCAAGGTAGGGCTTATTGTTGGCATAGGCCAGGGATAGGCAACCTTGGCTGTTTTATGACTCGAGGACTTCAATACCCAGAATTCCTGAGCCAGCCATGCTGAGGGGAAAGGGAAAGGTTTCCAAGCTGAGCCATGCTGGCTGAGGAATTCTGGGAGTTGGAAGTCCACGAGTCATGAAGGGGCCAAAGTTTCCCCCATGCTGGCTCAGGAATTCTGGGAGTTGAACTCCACGAGTCATGAAGGGGGCCATAGTTTCCCCCATGCTGGCTCAGGAATTCTGGGAATTGAAGTCCACGAGTCATAAAAGAGCCAAGGTTGTCTACCCCTGGTGTAGGCCTTACTTTCGGGAAAACACAGCATTATAGTACACATTATATACATTTATGCTTTATGGCATTATTCCTTTTAATATAAGCTGCCCAGAGTCACCTCGAAGTGAGATGGCCAGCCAAAAAAAAAAAAAAAATCAAATAAATAAATATACACACACAGCCACTGTTGCAAAATGAGATTGACAGGTGTCCCATGCTATAACTCTTGTGTTTGTATATATGGCTTCTTAATGCTTGTAATATGGAGAAAACCTAAAGGTTGAAAAATGGGACATTGAGCTTTTTTGCAAATACACAAGAGGAAGAAGCTAGGGAGTGCTTTGGGAAATGGAACTGCTGGAAGAAAAGTGACCTGGTGGGGATAAGCAAAGAGATCTAAAGAGGAATTGTGAACGAACCTCAAAAATTAAGGACTAGCTCCTTAACTGAACTAGGTAAGCTGGGGGGGGGGGAGGGAGCCATGATACAATTTGTGGAGGTCAATAGATAATGGCTCTCTTATTGTAAAGATGCTTGGATGAGCACATTGGTTCATCTGTCTTGGGCAGGGGTAGGCAACTTTGGCCCCTTCATGACTTGTGGACTTCAACTCCCAGAATTCCTCACCAGCAGGGGGGAACTATGGCCCCTTCATGACTGGTGGACTTTAACTCCCAGAATTCCTGGGCCAGCATGGGGGAACTATGGCCCCCTTCATGACTTTTGGACTTCAATTCCCAGAATTCCTCAGCCAGCATGAGGGAACTATAGCCCCTTCATGACTTGTGGACTTCAACTCCCATAATTCCTCAGCCAGCATGGAAGAACTATGGCCTTTTTAAGACTGTGGACTTCAACTCCCAGAATTCCTCAGCCAGCGTGGGGGAACTTTGGCCCCTTCATGACTCGTGGACTTCAACTCCCAGAATTCCTGAGCCAGCATGGGGGAACTATGGCCCCTTCATGACTCGTGGACTTCAACTCCCAGAATTCCTTGGCTGGCTCATCGCTTAGCGATGAGAATCTGGGGGGTCTCCGCCGCGGCCGTACCCACCTTGTGTAAGTGTCACACACGAGTGAAATCTTGTTTGGTGGGCCAGGAGAACATCTCCAAGACTGCTTTCCGATGACTTAAGTTGTCCCGGTGGGGAAGCTGGGCATGGCTGCTCTTTGGAGGAAGGGGTTGTCTGAAGTTCAGAGTTGTCTTCTTTTGCGATAAATCCGGGGTTTGTTATTTTGCCCCCAGCCCAGGCGGGCCCGAGATTAATGGGGCCCTGGGTGAGGAATGCCCTTCCATCAACTTCCCACTTTCTTTTTCAACATTATCTCTATATTCCTCTGATTTTTATCTCAGATGAATGTGGCGGAGCTGGAGGCTGGAAAGACGAATCACATTTTCATGTTCTTATACATTCAGTTGTGTCCTCGCTGCCAAAAACAACTTGTATGATTTTTCGTTTGTGGGAATTGGGGGGGGGGGGATTAGCCATAGGGTATTGCTGTGGTTTTTCTTTCTTTCTTTCTTTCTTTCTTTCTTTCTTTCTTTCTTTCTTTCTTTCTTTCTTTCTTTCTTTCTTTTCTTTCTCTTTCTCTTTCTTTGCTTCCTTTATCTCCTTTTTCCTCCTTTCTTTCCTTCCTACCTTCCTTCTCTCTGCTTTTCATTGCCTCTCCTTCCTTCTCCTTTTCATTTCCTCTCCTTCCTTCATTCCTTCTCCCTCCTTTTCATTGCCTTTCCTTCCTTCCTTCTCCATTTCATCTTCTTTCCTTCCTTC